AGTTCCACTCCTAAAGTGAACGGTCTGTGCCCATTTCTCAGTGGCCCAGCTCTGGATTCCACAGGGTGCCGAAGGTCTTTAAGGTCATCGGCTTGCCCACTGCCCAGCGTGTGGTGTCAAACCTTCTTTCTGTTTGAATGTGCTTGGATCAATGATGAGTCCCACAAAAAAACATTCCTTGGAAAGCTGAACAAAATGAGTGAAAACTCATACCGTCGCTCTCATCGGAACTGAGGTCCAGCACATTGCCTCCCCTGGGGACTGTAGGAGTGAGAGACAACTTCACTGATTCCCATAGGTTCCACCACCCAGGGATTCCACAGACCAACGTCTCCCATCGCACACTTATTAGGAACATTCACTTTTGAGTGAGGTATGTAGATTGTGAGAGTCCTTGGGGACATGGCTGCTCTGTAATGGTCTGGCGACTGTGGTCACAGACGGAAATACTGCTGACCTAGGGGAATGTGCTCCTGGTCTTGGCTTGGTGAGCTCATAGGAAGGGACACCCAGACCTTGTGGTGGGCATCTGTCTGCAGGGGTACTGGGTCCTTCTTTTCTATCCAGGAGAGTATAAGGCTCGGGCCTCTGACAGACCCTGGTACTGATTTTTGATGAGCTGAGGACATGGGAGTACCAAGAGTGATGGGGAATAGTGCGTAGCATAGGGTGTCGCGACAGATAGCCAGAGCCTCTTTGGCCCTCCACACAGGCCCCCGGGTGGGGATTTCTTCCTTCCCTGAGCCATTAGATGCCCCTGGTGCCTTGTTGGAAGCCTGGGCCAGAGGGTACTCCAGAAAATAGGCAGTAGGGGGCTTAAGGGGTCATGTGTTGTCATCAGCAGTCTTAGGTTTTTGTCAGGTGGTGATGGGCTTCCCATTAATTTCTCTAGTCTAGGACAAGTTGGCCAGTGGGGGTCTTAGAAGGCATGTCCCAGAGAATACAAGGGTCAGCCTCGTGCCCCAGACCGTGGGTGTCTTGCAGTCTTTGTGACAGAGTAGTGGGCTCTACCCTTGTGCACATCTTCCTGGGAATGGTCTCCTGGCCTGCCCTTGCTGGGCAGCCCTACCTGCTGTAGTGCATGTGAGCAAATACTGCTCTAGATCCTCTTTTCTTCTTGTAGAGTAGCTTCCATCCTAAAGGTGTCCTGAGGGAATGGGCCATGTCCCTGGACTCTCCTCCCGTGGACATCACTCATACCAGGGGCTATGCATGGAGGTCCATGTGCATTCCAGGCAACATGTGTGCCTTTCCTGCAGCCTGCCATAGAGAGTTCGTTGACTTGGGATGCCCGTGCACCTCCCAGGTTGGTGATGTTCCATTGTTGCATTCTGCCACTCCCTAAGGCTGAGAAACGTTTCAGCTCCCTTAAACAGTTTTAACTCACAGCACATCCAGGACAGTGACATACCATGTTGATGGTCCCACAGCTGCATTAGGAATGTTGGAAAGGATCGGTGGTTCTACAGATTGCAGTTGATGAGTAACCATGTACATGTAGACCAGGTGATGGTGCTGAGTTTCAGGAGCTGTGGTGGGTGGTAGTGCAGTCAACCTGGCTGTGTGATGGGGTGTTGCCTTAGAGTTTTGTGCACAGAAGTCCTGTGTGTCACCAGTGCAAGGATAGCGGAAGGCAGCGTGTCCTGTCAACCTGGGCCTTGGGGCAGGGACATCCTGTTTGAAAGCAGCCATACCTTTGAGTGTCCTGAAGGCACAGTACATGCTTGTGGACTGAATAGCAAGGAGGAAGCCTGTGTCTTAAGGTCATTTGACTAGGTTGGGAAGATTGATTGCCTCTGGCGTGATACAATTTTTCAGACCTCGGGTTGACCATTGCAAAGGCACCCTCCAGGGCTGCTTGTGGTTGGTTTTCTGCCAGGTGAGCCTCAGCTGAGAGTGCTGCCAGTGGTGGGGTCTGGTCACGATATCAGATGCCTCATGAGGAGGAGCTCAGACCAGGGTAGTAGCTGTTAGGGGAGTTACCTAAGGCCTATGTCCTCATGGCCCCAAAGTCAAAATGCATACCCTACTGATTGAAGGCCGTGGCCTTCCACCTTGGAGTTGCCAGGGGGCTTCAGTTTTGGAGGCTGCAGTGTATAATCACCTGTTATGGTGGTGGGAAACACTTGTACATGAGGGAGAGAAACACACTCACACTATCACACACACAAACAGGTGTGCACAGCCACAGGCAAATAGGTACAGCAAGAGGCCTCCTATGTGTCGAGACTTCCTAGGTGTGTAGAAAGTGACATGGATCATATATATTCATAATGATGGAGGTCTGTCATGGAGGCCAAGGAGAAGTAGGCATGTGAGTCGCCCTGTGAAAAGAATGGTGTTGAAATGTCGAGTGTTCCTGGGCTCATTTCTCAAGTAGATATTTGATTTCTTTATACTTCTCAGGGTCAGTTTCCATGGGACATCCACCATACGCTGGCAAGGAAGATGGTCAGTTTTTCTGGGACACAAAGGCCCCCAGAGTCCTAGAGTCCAAATGGCCTGGATCCATGGTGCACCCCTGCTGGTGCATGGCTCAGGATGGTAAGCATTTCTCTGCCCCACGTGCTGAGTAGGAGTGTCTTTGGGATTTCAAAACCAGCAAGGAGTGGTTTCTCAGCAGGCCTCTGATGGTGTGGCAAGTTCCACTCCTAAAGTGAATGGTCTGTGCCCATTGCTCAGTGGCGTGGCTCTGGGTTCTGCATGGTGCTGAAGGTCTTTAAGGTCATCAGCTTGCCCACTGCCCAGCCTGTGGTGTCAAACATCCTGCTTCTTTGCAATGTGCTCGGATCGATGATGAGTCTTACAAAAAAAAACATTCCTTGGAAAAGCTGAACAAAATGAGTGAAAACTCATACCGTCGCTCTCATCGGAACTGAGGTCCAGCACATTGCCTCCCCTGGATATTGTAGGAGTGAGGGACAAGGAGAAGCAGATTTATGAGTTACCCCTTGGCAAAGAATAAAATTGATGTGACCAGTGGACTTGGGCCCATTCCTCAAGGGTGCATTTTATAATTTTTTGCTCTTCTCAGGGGCAGTTTCTTGAGAGGCCTGCTGTGTGCTGGCCCGATAGATGGTCGATTGTTCCAAGGAACAGAGTCCCCATGGAGTCGTGGAGTCATTGTGGCCTGGCATCCATGGTGCACCTCATGCTGGCGGGTGGCTCAAGATGGTAAGCATTCCTCTGCCCTTGTGCTGAGTGAGGGCATCTTTCAGATTTCCAAGATAGGCATTGCCCAGCCTGTGGTGTGAAACATCCTGTGTCTTCCAATGTGCTCGGATCGATGATGAGTCTTACAAAAAAAAACATTCCTTGGAAAAGCTGAACAAAATGAGTGAAAGCTCATACCGTCGCTGTCATCGGAACTGAGGTCCAGCACAGTGAATGGAATTGACGTGGTGATCAGCAGACCTGGCCTGTTTCTCAAGTGTGCATTTCTCAAGTGTGCATTTGATTTATTTAAACTTCTCAGGAGCAGTTAATCATGAAAGCTCCACCACTTGGTGGGAAGGACGATGGTCGATTCTTCCGCCCAACGGAGGCCACGTTGAGTCCTTGATTCGGCGTGCCATGGCAACTGCAGTGCACTTCATGCTGGTGGGTGGCTCAGGACGGTAAGCATTTCTCTGCCCTGTGTGCAGAGGTGTCTTTCAAATTTGTGAGACCCACAAAGCGCTGTTTGTCATCGGGTCACCATTGGCATGGCGAGTTCCATTCCCTGAGTGGATGGTGTGTGCCCATTGCTCAGTGGCATAGCCATGGCTTCCCGAGGGTGCCGAAGGTCTTTAAGGTCATCAGCTCACCCACTGCCCAGCCTGCAGTGTCAGACATTCTCCCCCTTCAAATGTGCTTGGATTGATGATGAGTCCCCCCAAAAAAACATTCCTTGGAAAAGCTGAACAAAATGAGTGATAACTCATACCGTCACTCTCATCAGAGCTGAGGTCCAGCATGTTGCCTCCCCTGGGGACTGTAGGAACAAGGGACAACTTCCACTGGTTCCCAGAGGTTCTATCAGCAAGGGCATTCTTGGATGAAAGTCTCGTATAACAGGCACATCAGGAACATTCCCGTTTTGTGAAGTTCATGGGTAGGAGAGTCATGTGGGGAACCATTGCTTTGTGATGGCCTGGCGGCTATAGAGGAAGGCACAAAGGCCCCACAAGGGAGACCCTGACCTCATGATGGGCATTTCTGTGCATTGCACCAGGTCTTTGTTTTCATTGCAAGGACAGCACAAGGCCCAGGCCTCAGGCAGACCTTGGTCTTGATTTTCAGTTATCCGAGGAGGGGAGTGCCAAGGTGATGGGGGACAATGGAGAGCAGTGGGTGTCATGGCAGACAGCCAAATCCCAACAGGAATTTTTTTAGTTCCTGAGCCATGAATTGCCCATGTTGTGGTGACTGAGCCTGGGCAGGATGGTACCCCAGAGAAAAGGTGGTGGAGGGCTCACATGGACATGCATGTCATCAGCAGTCTTAGGCTGCCATCTGGTTGTGATGGGCTTTACATGGATTTCTCTTGTGGACGACAGGTCAGCCAGTGGGTTTTCAAGGGCAGATCCAAGAAGCATGAATGTCAGGCTCTGGCCTGTGGCCCTGGGTCACATCTGGTCTTTTCAGCAGAGTAGTGGGCTGTACCATTGTGCCCCCCTTCCTGGAAATGGTCTCTTGGCCCACCATTGCCAGGTGGCCCCATATGCTGTAGCTCGTATGCATAAATAACTGCTTTGGATTTTCCTTCCAGCTTTGAAGGCTTTCAGAGGAATGTGCCCTGGCCCTGGCCCAGAACTCTCCCATGGGATTCAGTCACACTTGGAGCTGCCCATGGAGGTCCGTGTGCATTCCAGGCACTGTGTATTTAATCCCAGATGCCTTCCATTGAGAGTCCCTTGACTTAAGATTCCTCCACTCCTCTGCTTGTTGGTGATATTCTGGTGTTGATTTAGCTACTTACTAGGTGTGATGAACTGTTTCAGCTCACTTAGCCTCAGTGCAGCCAGGACAGCCATGCCATGTTGAAGGGAGTGTGGATGGCTTAGGAAAATTCAAAAGGATTGGTGGTTCTGTGGCTTGCAGCTCCCTTAGTAGCCACATGCGTGTAGACCTGGTGGAGGTTGTCATACAGTATTGACCAGCAGTTGTTGGGGAGAATGGTACTGCATGCAAGGTGGCTGCATGCTGTGATGTTGCCTCAGAGGTTGGTGCAAGGAAGGCCTTTGAGTGTGACCCATGCAAGGATGATGGAAGGCAGTGTGCCCTGTCTGCCTGGTCCTTGGGGCGTCAGGTAGAGATGTCCTTGGGAAAAGCAGACATTCCCTTCGGGTGTCTTGAGGGCACGGTGCAGGCACATGGACTGTATGGAGGAGAGGAAGGTTGTGTCTTGAAGTCGGTTGCCTAGGTTGGGCAGACCACCTCTGGCCTTGATGCCGAGTTTCGGAGAGATGTACTGGCCATTGGGAAGGTGCCCTCCAGTGCTTGTTGTGGTTGGTTTTGTGCCAGGTGCGCCTTACGTGGGGGTCCTGCCAGAGGCAGTGTCTGGTCACGACGTCAGATGCCCCTTAAGAAGGAGCTTGTGCTCATGCTAGGGGTGGTGGCTGTTATACAAGGGACCTCGAGCCTGTGTCTGCGTGGCCCTGTTATCAGAGTTTACATCCTACTGATTGAAGGCCTTGGTCTTGAATTGTCAGGTTGGTGGGGGCTCAGGCCTGGAGGCCACAGACTCTGACTGCACATTGCCGTGTTGGGGAAGCCATGTGTTTGGGAAACACATGTGCATGAGGGACACACACACACACACACACACACACACACACAGTGGTCCAAATAGCCACAGGCAAATATACATAGCAATGGGTATGTGCAGTCATTTTGTCCACATGCAGCTCCAAAGTGTCTGCAGAGTGCCACTAGAAAGTTACATTCATAGAGATGGAGGTCACTCATGGAGCCCAGCAGAAGCAAGGTGTGTAAGTTGTCAAAAGAATGGCATTGAAGTGGTGACCAGTGGACCCAGGCCTTGTTTTCAAGCATGGATTTGATTTCTTTACACTTCTCAGGGGTAGTTGCCATGGGAGGCCCACCACCTGCCGGAAGGAAGATGGTCGATTCTTGTGAGCCACAAATGCCCTGCAGAGTCTCAGAGTCAGTGTGGCCTGGCTTCCATGGGACATCTTGTGCTGGTGGATGGCTCAGGCCGGTAAGCATTCCTGTGCCCCTCGTGCTGAGTGATGCGGTCTTTTGGATTTCTGAGACCCAGAATGAGCTGTTTCTCACGAGGCCACTAGTGGATGGCAAGGTCCACTCCTAGAGTGGATGGTGTGCCTTTTGCTCTGTGGCATGACTTTGGTTTCTGCAAGGTGCCGAAGGGCTTTAAGGTCATTGGCTCACTCACTGCCCAGCCTGTGGTGTCAGACATCCTGCCCCTTCAGATGTGCTTGGATCAATGATGAGTCACCCCAAAAAAAACATTCCTTGGAAAAGCTGAACAAAATGAGTGAAAACTCATATCGTCGCTCTCATCGGAACTGAGGTCCAGCACATTGCCGGGGACTGTTGAAGTGAGGGACAGCTTCCACTAGTCTCCATAGGTTCCACCACCCAGGACTTCCACAGGCGAACGCCTCCCATCACACACATATTAGGAACGTTCCCTTTGTGTGGGGTACACAGGAGAGTCATGGAGGGATTGGCTGCTCTGGGAATGCATGGCGGCTGTGGATGTGGATGGAAATACCTCAGGCCTAGAGGAGTATGTGGCAGACCTGGGCCTGGTGAGCTCCTAGGAAGGGAGACCTGGACCTCATGTCAGACTTCCTCGCACAGTGGACCAGTTCCCATTTCCCCTGCTAAGGAGAGCATGAGGGTGCAGCCTCAGGCAGACCTTGGTCTTAATTTTCAGTTAGCTGAGGGCAGGGAGGTGCCACAGGTGATGGGGGAGAGCTCAGAGCAATGGATGTTACAGTAGATGGCCAAAGCCTCTTCAGCCCTCCCTAAAGTGCTGGTCACAGGGTGCCCTGCAGCAGGGATTTCTTTGCCTCCCAATCCTTCCAAGCTGCCCACGGTGTGGTGGTGGAGACCCAGGTATGACGTTTCCTTTTGTATTTCAGAGAATAGGTGATAGGGGGTTCATATGGACAGACGTGCCATCAGTGGTCTTGGGCTGTCATTCCTTGGTGCTGGGCTGTCCGTGTCTCTGGTGGATGACAGGTCAGGCAGCAGGGGTCTTCAAGGGCAGTTCAAAGGAACATGAGGGTTGGGCTGCTGTCTGTGGCCCTGGGTCACTCCAGTTCTTCCTGGCAGAGTAATGGGCTCCACAGTTGTGCACATATTCGTAGAAATGGTCTCTTGGCCTGCCATTGCCAGGCGGCCCCACTTGCCACAGCTTGTGTGACCAAGTGCTGCTCTGGATCCTTTTTCTCACTTGGAAAGCAGCTTCCATCCTGAAGGCTTCCAAAGGGAATGAGGGAATGTGCCATAGCCCAGGCCCAGGACCCCACTGTGGGCTCCAGTCAACCATGGGGCTATCCATGGAGGTCTGTGTGCATTTCAGGCAATGCGTGTGCCGTTCCAGGGGTGTTGCCACGGAAAGTCTCTTGCCTTGGGATGCCTGCATCCCTCTGAATCCTGGCCATGCTCCAGTGTTAGATTCTGGAGCTACACCCTATGCATGATGAAACATTTTAGCTCCCTCAGCCAGTTTGAATTCACAGTGCAGCCAGAACAGCTATGCCTCTTTCAATGGCACACGGATGAGTTAGGAAAGCTGGAAAGGATTAGTGGTTCTACAGCTCACAGCTCACTTAGCAGCTGCATGCATGTAGACCTGGTGGTGTTGGTACAGTGTTAAGGTGGGTAGTAGTGCAGTCACATTGGCTGCATGATCGGTCATTGCTTCTGCGGTCAGTTCAGGGATGCCCTGTGAGTGTGTCCAATATAAGAATGATAACAGGCAGTGTGTCCTGTCAACCTAGTCCTTGGGGCGTCAGGCGGGGATGTTCTGCTAGAAAAGCAGCCATTTCCTCAGCTGTCCTGAGGGCACACTGCAGGCATGTGGACTGAGTGAAGTGGAGGAAGCGTGTGTCTTGCTGTCCTTTTGCTAGGTTGCAAGGCCCGCCTCTGGCCTTGATGCCAAGTTTCAGACCGATGTGCTGGACTTTGCGAAGGTGCCCTCTGTAGCTGGTTGTGGTTGGTTTTCTGCCAGGGGGGCCTCACTTAAGAGGACAGCCAGAAACAGTGTCTTGTCATGACATCAGATGCCCCATGAGGAGGAGGAAGAGCATATGCTCCCACCAGAGTTGGTGACTGTTAGGTGAGGGACCTCTGACCTGTTTCCATATGGCCCTGAGGTGAAATGTCACACCCGAGTGATTGAAGGCCGGTGTCTTGAGTGATCAGTTTGCTGGGGGCATCAGGTCTGGGAGCTGCAGATTATAATCGTCCATTGCAGTGTTAGGCCACACATGTGCATCAGGGAGACACACACATACAGACTCACACTCCACACACACACTCATACTCACATACACACTCAAACCCACTCTCTCTCACACATAGCCACAGGCAATGACGGGCTCATAGATGTGGCAGTGTGCACGTGCAGTGGTTCTGGCCACACGTGCTTTTAGATGTCTGCAGAGTGACACAAGGAATACTCATGGAGGAGGAGGTCAGTCATGGAGGCCAAGGAGAAGAGGCATGTGAGTTGCCTTGTGGGAAAGAATAGCGTTGAAGTGACCGGTGAACCTGAGCCCATATCTCAAGCATGCATTTCATTTCTTTACACTTCTCAGGGCCAGTTGCCATGGAAGGCCCACCTCCTGCTGACAAGGAAGATGGTCGATTCTTCGGTCTGCTTAGGCCCTACTGAGTCCTTGATTCGGCATGTCCTGGCATGTACGGTGCACCCTGTTCTGGCAGGTGGCCCAGAACGGTAAGCATTCCTCTGCCTCACATGCTGAGTGAGGGTGGTTTTCTGAGTTCCAAGAGTTGCAAGGAACACTTTCTCAGCAGACCATTAATGGCCTGGCGGTTCCACTCCTGCAGTGAATAGAACCGGTTGCTCAGTGGCACGGCTGTGGCTTCCTCAGGGTGCCAAAGGTTTTTAATGTCATAGGCAATTTTGCTGCCCATCCTGTGGTGTCAGACGTCCTGACTCTTGGAATGTGCTTGGATCGATGATGAGTCCCCAGTAAAAACATTCCTTGGAAAAGCTGAATAAAATGAGTGAAAACTCATACCGTCACTCTCATCGGAACTGAGGTCCAGCACATTGAATGGAACTGAACTGGTGATCAGTGGACCTGGGCACATTTCTCAAGTGTGCATTTGATTTCTTTACATTTCTTAGGAGCAGTTTTCATGAGAAGGTCCACCACTTGCCGGCAAGGAAGATGGTTGATTCTTCCTAATCAATGGAGGCGCATTGAGTCCTTGATTTGGCGTGGCCTGTCATCTTTGGTGCACCCCATGCTGGTGGGTGGCTCAGGACGGTAAGCATTTCTCTGCCCTGTGTGCAGAGGTGTCTTTCAAATTTCTGAAACCCACAAAGAGCTATTTGCCAGTAGGCCATTAATGGCATGGCAAGTTCCACTCCCTGAGTCAACGGTCTGTGCCCATTGCTTGGTGGTGTGGCTCCAGGTTCCATAGGGTGCCAAAGGTCTTTAAGGTCATCGGCTTACCCACTGCCCAGCCTGTGGTGCCAAACGTTCTGCCTGTTCACAATGTGCTTGGATCGATGATGAGTCTTACAAAAAAACATTCCTTGGAAAAGCTGAACAAAATGAGTGAAAACTCATACCGTCGCTCTCATCGGAACTGAGGTCCAGCACGTTGCCTCCCCCGGGGCCTGCAGGAGTGAGGGACCGCTTCACTGATGCCCATAGGTTGTCCCCCAACCCGGGCATCCACAGTCCAAAGTCTCCCGTTAAATGCTTGTAGGAACATTCCCTCTGTTAGGTACATGAGTGGGAGCGTCGAGGGGGATCAGCCACTGTGTGATGGCCTGGTGGCCACGGAAGCGGACAGAAATATTGCAAGTCTAGGGGAGTGTGTGGCTGGCCTGAATTTGGTGAGCAAAAGGAAGGGAGACCCGGACCTCACAGCAGGTGTCTCCACACAGAGGACCGGGTGTCAGTTTTGCTACCAAGGAGAGCATGAAGGCCAGGCCTTGGGCAGAACATGATATTGATTTTTGCTTAGCTGAGGCCAAGAGAGTGGCAAGGGTGATAGAGGAGAGAGCAGAGCAATGGGTACCATGGCAGATGGCCAGTGCCTCTTCAGCCCTCCCCCTAGCATTGGTCACAGGGGCTCCCCGGCTCAGATTTCTTTGCCTCCTGAGCCATGATGCCTGTGTGTGGTGTGGAGGCCTGAGTGGAATGGTATTCCAGAGAAAAGATGCTAGAGGGCTCTCATGGAAACGAGTGTCATCAACTGCATTGGGCTTTCATTTGGCGTGGATTTCTCTGGTGGATGACATGTCAGACAGGGTGGGTCTTCGAGGACATGTCTCTGGGTGAGTGAGTGTTAGGATGGTGTTCATAGTCCTCGGTCACTTTTGGTCTTTCCAGCAGAGTGGTGGGCTCCACCATTGTGCACATCTTCCTGGAAATGGTCTCTTGGCCTGCATTGTTGGGCGGCTCCACCTGCTGGAGCTCTCGTGCTCAAATGCTGCTCTGTAGCATTCCCGTTTTCCAACACAAAGGTATCCAGAGCGATTGTGCCCTGGCCCTGGCCCAAGAGTCTCCTGTGGGCTCCAGTCCTGCATGGAGCTATCCATGTCCGTGTGTGTTCTGGGCAGTGCATTTGCAATCCCGGGATGTTGCCACGGAGAGTCCCTTGACTTGGCACAACTCCACACCTCTGCATGTTGGCAGCGTTCCAGTGTTGGACTCCACTACTTCGAGGCACAGCAAAGCATTTCAGCTCCCTCAGCTGGCTTGAAGTCACAGTGCAGGTGGGACAGCCGTGCCACTGTGAAAGGCACATGGTTGGCACAGGAAAATGGGAAAGGATTGGTGATCGTACATCTTGCAGCTCACGTAGTCACTGCATACGTGTGGACCTGGTAGTGTTGATGCAGCGTTAACCTGCTAGCATGAGGGTAGATGGTAGTGCACTCTGTCTGGCTGTGCGATGGGACGTTGTCTGCGACGTTAGTGCAGGGAAACTCTGTGGGTGTGTCCAATGCAAGGATGATGACAGGTTGTGTGTCCTGTC